TTATAATGAACGTACATTTTTCTAATGCAAAGCGCTCAAATATTAAAAAAAAAATCTTAAAAATTCTTAATCCTTATCCAGTGAATCACAAATAACTGGACAAGTCATGGGGCCTTTGCATATTGATGAGGGCCTTGGAGTCAAAAAGTTTGAGAACAACTGTAATACTGCATTATTATTATTAAAATACTGTATTATTCTCTAACTTTCTAAAGCCAGGACAAATTGTTTCATGGTTTCCACTGTTATGGAAAACCTCACAATTCAATTAGTTAAAACAAATTATGATTTCTAGACCTTTAAAAATGGTAAAAGATATGAAATTAATGAAAGGAATCAATGGTTATAGAACTTTACACTGAATGCAAATTTGTCTGTTAAAGCCAAATCCTCCACTGAGCTGAATTTAAATCACTAGCCTTTATCTCTGGCTTTTGTACACAAATAAGTATAATTATGTAAGCATTTTCATTCCATGTATTGGGATTTGACATACACATGGAAAGCCATCCAGAAATCTTTATAAACTGATTTAAAAAATACAGTACTTATGCAGTAATCATAAATGGCAGGACAAGTCATAGAAATTCATTTTTGTCAAAAATGCCGGAAACCCTGCAGTTTCATATTTGGGACAGAATTTCTTCAGCATAGGTAGGACAGATGGTGAAGTTCAGTTCTGTCTCTTTAACTACAGTACTGCTCTGTGTATATCAGTGTTGCTCTTTCTCTCTCTTTCTTCCTTTGGCTCCACTCATTTGCTTTATTCACTAAGAGCTCTGTGGCACACTAAAAATGAGCTCATGAAGCAGCTCTTGAGCCCGAGCCTTTGAAAAACGGTGCAAAAAATTGACATTAGAAGCAACACCATTATGCTACTTGGTGGCGTACCATTCCATCAAAACCGAATTGACAATTTATAGAGTTTACAAAGTCACAATTTAACGAAGTGGAGCCGGGCTGGGCGCTGTGATTGCGTTAGCGCTGTGTGGCTCTTCTGTGTTATTAGACTAACTGTGCCGTGTTTACTCCGCTGCTGGCAATGACATGAGCTGTGGGGATAACACCGGCCACCCCTGAGGCGGCCTTCTGAAGCGCTTCAGATTATCCACACGCTCACTCACATACAAAATGGTATACTTACTGTAGATTATATACATGCGCTCTCATTGCTTGTTCAGTTGTTGACGCCAACCTATATTGGCGGATCATGTCTCCTCGTATTGGAGGTCTAATCAGGATAACAGGCATGATGGTCCATCAAACAGGGCTTTAGAGAAGTTGTGGCCACTTATTCTTGCTGCTAGATGCTCTAATTTGAATATCTTAGCCATTGTTTCTGAACAGAGATCTCTAAATGCCTCGAATGTGTCTGAGAGCTCACGCTGTTGAGATGCCAAAAGAGCACCTCAGATGCTCTTAGCGGTTATTGATGTGATTCCTTGCATTTGGTTTTCTCAGAAATAACACATTCGGTCTGTCAGGTTTGTCTGCTGCTTTTAGATTGAAAACAGTGCGAGTACACAAGGAAAATTAAGTGTTTTTGATGTGGTGCTGTGAAGCTTGGAGCTCGCAATTAACATTTGTTTGCATCACAATTAGAAAAGAACACTAGTATAAGGCTTTACGAAATGAACGATGTGCAGAATGATTGATGTTAAACCCCAGTATCACCTTCAATAAAGGAGTCAACAAAGATCTGCAGATGGTCTTAAGATCTTAAGCAATGTCTTTTGAGAAATATCTCCACTCCAAATCTTGTTTTTTCAGATCTGCTTCGAAATATGATACAGCACGGTTCCTATTTCTGAGCAAACAATATAGCTTTATCGCCTCTGGCTGGTAATGGCATCCTGTTATATGAAGAAAATGGCATTGAGAAAGCTCAGCAGCAGACAGGGATGGTGCAGATCCTCAGGAAAGCGGGTGGGAAATTAGAAACTAGTATTGCTACGCTCCAGTCAAATGCACACAAATCTTCTTTCACACCTCTGAAGCTGATTACACATGCCTTTCGTGTCACACTCGGTGCTTGGCTGTGAAATTACATTTAGGCAACAATGCAAAATCTTTATAAATGTACTTTACGAATCATACTTTTCATGCTGCAGTTGTGGCTATTATTTATATTCAAATTATTATACAATTATATTATGCTAAATATAATATAATATAATACTGTATAATATAATATAATATAATAATGTTTCACATCACACAATAGAATATATTTGTACACATCAAACTGTGCTGATGTGTAAAATATCTTATTTTTACTCAATTACCAAATCAGTCTTCCATAAGACTCTTTTATTTATTTTCCTAGCTCTCACTTTATAATTATTGGTTTCATCCTTGTTGCAGAAAGAGACCACATTGTTTTTAACAATTGCTCTCTTCCTCTCTTTCCGTCATCTCCTGAGTTCATCTGCAGAATGAGTTCAATGAGTGCTCACTCTGAACAGTCTACATGTTCACCCCACACACACTGCGCCCAGTAGGCCCATTATTATGAGGGTCATATTTTCTTAACCCTGCACTTCAAGAGTTGACGGACAACTGTGGGGAGCGGGCAGCTCAAGCTGAGTAATCTTTATGCCATTATTCCATAAATGTAAAATAATCTGCTCCATATTCATTGACATCCCCAGATCTGAAAAGAAATTGCCACTCAAAACTGTGCCACTTTAAGATAACATCATGATAACCTTTGAGGAATAATTAAAATCTTTCCAAGGTGAGGCAGTGAAAATAAATTAGGACTATCTTGTCGTCCATCCATCACTTAAGCAAATGTGTCTAGTCTCACAGGGGCCACTTCACATAACAGTGCAACTGTTGCACAACAGTATTTCATTGCAAAAGCCATTGTTTTATCAAGTTTAACTAGGTGCCAGATTCAAAATAACATTTTGTATTTAAATTTACCCAAGATTCATAAATCTTGTATTTGAGCCTCAGCAGTTATTTATATATTTATTTTAAATGAAATATTCCATAGATGCAATGCATATGCATTTTCTGTGAAATTTTGGTTCACAGTATTTGTATTCTTACTATTTTTTAGTTCTGTCAATAATCTATTGATAGATAGACAGACAGACAGACAGATAGACAGATAGATAGATAGATAGATAGATAGAGAAATAGACAGATAAAAATGGTATGTGGTTTGGTATGTGTTGTTTCCTTGTTTTTGTTGAAAAAATATATTTCCATATGACTATTCTAATATATTTGCTATAGGATTTGATCCTAAGTTAATTCCTACATTGTTCTTAGAATAATTGAAAAAAAAAAAGAAATAATAATAATGATAATAATAAAATTACAAGAATTCTAATTATACTACTACTAATACTACTACTTATTTTTTTATTGTTATTAAAAAAATCATTACTTGATTTTTTTTATAATAATATTTATAGTTCTGTTTATAGTACCAGTCAAAAGTTTGGATCTCAAAATGAATGAAAATTTCTCATGATCCAAAAGACCAAATGATCCAAATATTTCCACCCAAAGAATGTAACATTTTATTAAATCTTGCAGAAAAACCGGACACAGGTGCAGAAAAAGTTGTCATTACCAGCTGACCAACTAACTAATAAACATTTATTGCAAAGACTCAATCAAGCGTCTCCAGCATGCACCCTGTATTTCATTAACTATCCATCACAAAAACAGAAGATAATCACTGCAGCTATCAGAAGCGGCTTTAATTAATGTGTTATATTGGGCTGGCATCAAATGAAAAGATTGACAAAGGCCAGCAGAAGATCTGATATGGCATTTGAAGATATTGACGTGGCTGAGTGTCATCTGGGAAGCCAGATGGTTGGTCATGGAAAAGTAGCATAACGCTTTTGGTCAAAGAAGATTTGTGTTCATTTGTGCCATGGATGCGTGTGTGAAGTGTTATCCACAGCTATCTTGTGTTTACTTTGCAGCACCAGTGTCTATTTAGTTTCTCCAGTGTGTGAAATTGGCAATGTCAAGCCGAGCATCCCAAAAATTGCGAAAAAACCAAGTGAAACGTTTCTCCTCCCAACATACACAGACTCACAACATCTTTCACACATGCACACAAAGACAGATGCCTCATCTTACATCTGTATTCAGTCATTGGCCACCATTTCAATTACCATTTATGAGGCTGCAGTAATTGGTTTGACATTGAAATGGTGATGGGAAAAATAGCGTCCACAAGACTGAGAAGCTTAATGAAAGCTTGTCGCATTCCTTATACAAGCTTCCGATCCTCTCACTCATAAAATGAGTGAAAAGTTTGAACTCAGAGTATGAATCTAAAAACGATTGTGTCCTTTGTGCCTCAGAGGGCCAGTTAAAGCTGTGGAATTGTGGGACGCTGGAGGGAATAGTTCGAAAGACACATGGGGATTGAATCTGCTCAGCCAGAAAGAACTGGCTCAGTGCATCATTATGATTAGACAATGAGTTCATCAAGGCCAGAGCTGCACATATCAGATGGATCTCAGAGGAGTTAAAGAACCAGAAAAGCTCTTCTCTTTCCTTTTTGACTCGTTACATTTTAATAAAGAATCTTATTAACTTTTGTTAACTCTGTCACTCTGTAATATTGAGTTCAGAACTCTCAAAATATTTAAATGGTCTCTCTATTCTGGCTGTTCTAGTATATGTGGGAATTATTTAATTTGAACTGTTGTATTTTTAATGGGAAGTTTATTAGTGATGCACTAATATTAAAATTGTACCTGACACAATAAGATAATTATTTCCATGCTATGGCCAAATTATTAAATTTATAAATGATTAATAATATTATGATTAAATTATTTAAAAACATTTTTAAAGATTAATTGTAAGTGAACTTTAGATGACAGTAAAGGTAAACTGTATATATAAATAGGCCGACATCTAAACTGGTACCGATATATTGTGCATCCCTAATGTTGACAGCTGAAAACCTATATTTATCATGTTGTTAACAGTTCTTTTTGTCTTTCTTTGTTCAACAGGATGAAAAATCTACATTCTTCCAGTTTGGGGCCTCCATCCAGCAGGAGGCTCTGCTCATGCTCAACATTATGGAAGAGTACGACTGGCATGTCTTCTCCATAGTGACCAGCAAGTTCCCGGGCTACCAGGATTTCATTGCCATCCTGAAGACCACGGTCGACAACAGCTTTGTCGGTTGGGACCTCCAGCACACCATCACCCTGGATGCCGTAGACGGGGACTCCAGGACCCAGATCCAGCTGAAAAAGGTGCAGTCTCCAGTCATCCTTTTGTACTGCTCAAAGGACGAAGCGGCTTACATCTTGGAGGAGGCCCGGTCACTGGGCCTGACCGGTTTCGGGTACATCTGGATTGTACCCAGCTTGACCACGGGCAACCCAGACATCACTCCAGATTCGTTCCCCTCTGGAATGATCTCTGTATCCTACGATGACTGGGACTATCCTCTTGAGGCACGGGTTCGAGATGGGCTTGGGATTATAACCACGGCAGCTGCAGCCATGTTGGAAGAGTTTGGGGACATCCCGGAGGCCAAAACCAGCTGCTATGGCCAAATGGAAAAAACCAAGTTGCCACCCAGTGCATTACACAAGTGAGTGAAAGATGAGAGCTGGGCTATTATCCGAGTGTCAGTGGTATGTTAGTTTTTTCTGTCAACAGCCTGTCCATCCAGTTCCTCCACTTTAAAAGTGGAAACAAGAGGGCTATTTATGTGGGAAAATGTCTCAGGTTACGTATGTAACCCTAGTTCCTCGAGGGAACGAGACGCTGCGTCGGAAACGCTAGGGGAACGCCCTTCAGCGTGACGGGCTCTGAACCTCGTGTGTAATCATGAGAGACCGGAAGCTACGAGTTGTGCCCCCTCAGGGCACAATTTCCCCACAATTCACCCACAATTTCCACAGCTCCGGGCGGGGATGGATGATCATACCCTCCGCCTGTGAGAGGAGATCTCTCCTGACGGGAATCTCCCACGGAGCGCCGTCGAGGAGAGAGCTCTCTCATGTGGGCGAGAACGACATCTCGATGTCGAACCACCATCTGCTCTGATTGAGCTAAGATCAACCAATCGTCGATATAGTTTAGTATGCGGATGCCCTGGAGTCGCAACGGAGCCAGGGCTGCATCCACAGGAACAACCGAACCTGCTGCTCTCGAGACCTCCGCGGAGGTGACGAGCCTCTTAGCACCGCTACGTTGCCGGGCGGTGACTGAGAGTGGCGCTCGCGGGAGACTGCTGCGCCCTGGAACACCGGCAGGGTTGGCAGACTGATCTATAGATGCCTCTCCGCTGCCACCATAGCTGCCCTAGACCTGCCAATGGCACGGCGGTCTCCTTAGTGGCGCAGAGAGACAAATCAGCGGTCCTCCTGAGCTCTGTAATATCCTCAGATTTTACCTGCTCACCCTCATCTAGCTCTTTCAGCAGGTCGGCTTGGTACGCCTGTAACACCGCCATGGTGTGCAGACACGCACCAGCCTGACCCGCTGCCGAGTACCCTTTGCCCACCAGC